TGCGTCTCCAATTCTGCCCCAGATGGGGTTTAGGGACTCCTTGGAACCCCCCCAAAATACTCAATTTGCCCCTGCTATGCCCCAGTGTTGGGGGCTCCGACCTCCCTTATGTGTTCTGTCTCATCCCCAGTTTGGAGGGGTTTGGGGGATTCCCCAAGGATTTGGGAGATTTCGGCAATTCAGGGGATTTCTCTCCAGGTGTCATTTGTATCCCACCCTAATTTGGGGGTGGTCAAAGCAGTCTTTGCCCCCTCCAGTGCTCAATTGCAGGGGGGGGCTCGCACTTCCCAATTTCCCTTTCTCCCAAATTAGGGGGGAGTCTTTCCCTCTCCTGCCCCGAGATCCCTCTGTACTTGGGGGGGCAATTCTGGGGAGGTTTTGGGGGGGTCTCAGCCTCCTCTGACCCCCTCAATTTTCCTTCCCCCCCAGCTGGGCCTTTGGCTCCAACTCTCTCCCCATAGCTGGCTCTGTGGGGGGGGGGCGGCGGGGGGGGGGCCGCCCCTTCGCGCTGCCCCCTCGGGCCCTGCCCCCCCCTGCCCGCCTGGGGCTGCTGGGACCCCCCGGGGGGGCCCCCGCCCCCAGACCCCCCCTCGGAGCCCCCTCCTTGGGCACACAGGGACGGCAGGTGGGTCTGGGGAGAGAATTGGGAGTCGGGGGATTTGGGGGGAGATGAGGATTTTGAGGGGAGTTTTGGGAGACCGATGAGGGTTTTGGGGAGGTTTGTGTGAGAATTTTAGGGGGCATTTGAGGGAGGATTTTGGGAGGTTTTGCAGGAGGATTTGGGGGGAGGTTTGGAGAGGTTTGCAGGAGGGTTTTCGGGGGGAGAGGAGGATTTGGGCGGGGGGTTGGGGAGGCTTTGGAAGAGGATTGGGGACAGATTTTGTACTTGTATTGGGGGGGCACATCTGCCTGTTCCCACATGGTTTAATTGGGGTTGGGTGTCTTTCTCTCCCCTTGGAGACTATTTTGGGGCGGTCCCCCTGCCCTGGGGGTAGTGCCCCTCCCATAACCACCTTGTTGCCCCCCTAGAGCCTTTGGTTCGGGGCCGGGGGTGGCCCAGGGGGGTCGCCCGGTAGCCGTGGGGCCGTGCAGAGAACCCACTCCCTGCCTGTGCACAGCTCAGCCCTGCTCGCCTTCCCCCAGGGTAGGGGGGAGCCCTGAAATGGAAGGGGGGACCTTTGGAAATGGGGAAGGGGCCCGAAAAATGGGAGAGTGGTGTCAAAAATGGGAGGGAGCCCAAAAAGTGGGGGGAAACTTCATCTGTTGATCTTTGCGGGATGGAGTTGGGGAGGGAGGGTGAAGGGGTGGGAAGCACCCTAAAAACGGGGAGGGGAGAGTGTGGAGTAGGACCTCAAAAACGGGGAGGTGGATCTGAGAAAAGCGAGACCCAAAAATGAGGAGAGTGACTCCAAAAAAGGGAGGGGATCCCAAAAATAGGGAGAGAGACCGCAAAATGGGAGGGAAGGTGGGGGGCATGGGGAACAAACTCCAGGAAGGACTGGGGG